AGATCTACAGTATGGAATCTACATTAGATTTACAGTATGGAATCTACAGTATGGAATCTACAGTATTGAATCTACAGTAGATCTACAGTATGGAATCTACAGTAGATCTACAGCATGGAATCTACAGTAGATCTACAGTATGGAATCTACAGTATGGAATCTACAGTATGTAATCTACAGTAGATCTACAGTATGGAATCTACAGTATGGAATCTACAGTATGGAATCTACAATAGATCTACAGTATGGAATCTACAGTATGGAATCTACATTAGATTTACAGTATGGAATCTACAGTAGATCTACAGTATGGAATCTACAGTATGGAATCTACAGTAGATCTACAGTATGGAATCTACAGTATGGAATCTACAATATGGAATCTACAGTAGATCTACAGTATGGAATCTACAGTATGGAATCTACAGTATGGAATCTACAGTATGGAATCTACAATATGGACTCTACAGTATGGAATCTACAGTATGAAATCTACAGTAGATCTACAGTATGGAATCTACAGTATGGAATCTACAGGAATTCTACAGTATAAAATCTACAGTATGGAATCTACAGTATATCTACAGTATGGAATCTACAGTATGGACCCTACAGTATGGAATCTACATTAGATCTACAGTATGTAATCTACAGTAGATCTCCAGTATGGAATCTACAGTATGGAATCTACAGTAGATCTACAGTATGGAAGATACAGTAGATCTACAATATGGAATCTACAATAGATCTACAGTATGGAATCTACAGTATGGAATCTACAGTAGATATACAGTATGGAATCTACAGTAGATCTACAGTATGGAAGATACAGTAGATCTACAATATGGAATCTACTTTAGATCTACAGTATGGACCCTACAGTATGGAATCTACATTAGATCTACAGTATGTAATCTACAGTAGATCTCCAGTATGGAATCTACAGTATGGAATCTACAGTAGATCTACAGTATGGAAGATACAGTAGATCTACAATATGGAATCTACAATAGATCTACAGTATGGAATCTACAGTAGATCTGCAGTATGGAATCTACAGTATTGAATCTACAGTAGATCTACGGTATGGAATCTACAGTATGGAATCTACATTAGATCTACAGTATGGAATCTACAGTATGGAATCTACAGTAGATCTACAGTATGGAATCTACAGCATGGAATCTACAGTATGGAATCTACAGTAGATCTGCAGTATGGAATCTACAGTATTGAATCTACAGTAGATCTACGGTATGGAATCTACAGTATGGAATCTACATTAGATCTACAGTATGGAATCTACAGTATGGAATCTACAGTAGATCTACAGTATGGAATCTACAGCATGGAATCTACAGTATGGAATCTACAGTAGATGAACAGTGTGGAATCAACAATAGATCTACAGTATGAAATCTAGAGTATGGAATCTACAGTATAGAATCTACAGTAGATCTACAGTATGGAATCTACAGTATGGACTCTACAGTATGGAATCTACAGTATGGAATCTACAGTATGGAATCTACAGTAGATCTACAGTATGGAATCTACAGTATGGAATCTACAGTATGGACTCTACATTATGGAATCTACAGTAGATCTACAGTATGGAATCTACAGTATGGACTCTACAGTATGGAATCTACAGTAGATCTACAGTATGGAATCTACAGTATGGAATCTACAGTATGGACTCTACAGTATGGAATCTACATTATGGAATCTACAGTAGATCTACAGTATGGAATCTACAGTAGATCTACAGTATGGAATCTACACTATGGAATCTACAGTATGGAATCTAGAGTAGATCTACAGTATGGACTTTACAGTAGATCTACAGTATGGAATCTACAATAGATCTACAGTATTTAATCTACAGTATGGAATCTACAGTATGGAATCTACAGTAGATCTACAGTATGGAATCTACAGTATGGAATCTACAGTAGATCTACAGTATTGAACCTACAGTATGGAATCTACAGTATGGAATCTACAGTATGGAATTTACAGTATGGAATCTACAATAGATCTACAGTTTTTAATCTACAGTAGATCTACAGTATGGAATCTACAGTATGGAATCTACAGTAGATCTACAGTATGGAATCTACAGTAGATCTACAGTATGGAATCTACAGTAGATCTACAGTATGGAATCCACAGTAGATCTACAGTATGGAATCTACAGTATGGAATCTACAGTATGTAATCTACAGTAGATCTACAGTATGGAATCTACAGTATGGAATCTACAGTATGGAATCTACAATAGATCTACAGTATGGAATCTACAGTATGGAATCTCTACAGTATGGAATCTACAGTATGGAATCTACTACAGTATGGGAATCTACAGTAGATCTACAGTATGGAACCTACAGTATGGAATCTACAGTATGGAATCTACAGTATGGAATCTACAATAGATCTACAGTTTTTAATCTACAGTATGGAATCTACTACAGTATGGAATCTACAGTATGGAATCTACAGTAATCTACAGTATGGAATCTACAGTATGGAATCTACAGTATGGAATCTACAGTAGATCTACAGTATGGAATCTACAGTAGATCTACAGTATGGAATGTACATTAGATCTACAGTATGGAATCTTCAGTATGAAATCTACAGTAGATCTACAGTATGGAATCTACAGTAGATCTACAGTATGGTACATTAGATCTACAGTATGGAATCTACAGTATTGAACTAAAGTATGGAATCTACAGTAGATCTACAGTATGGAAGTACAGTAGATCTACAGTATGGAATCTACAGTATGGAATCTACAGTATGGAAGTTACATTAGATCTACAGTATGGAATCTACAGTATTGAATCTAAAGTATGGAATCTACAATAGATCTACAGTATGGAATCTATAGTAGATCTACAGTATGGAATCTACAGTATGGAATCTACAGTATGGAATCTACAGTAGATCTACAGTATTGAACCTACAGTATGGAATCTACAGTATGGAATCTACAGTATGGAATCTACAATAGATCTACAGTTTTTAATCTACAGTATGGAATCTACAGTAGATCTACAGTATGGAATCTACAGTATGGAATCTACAGTAGATCTACAGTATGGAATCTACAGTAGATATACAGTATGGAATCTACAGTATGGAATCTACAGTATGGAATCTACAGTAGATCTACAGTATGGAATCTACAGTAGATCTACAGTATGGAATGTACATTAGATCTACAGTATGGAATCTTCAGTATGAAATCTACAGTAGATCTACAGTATGGAATCTACAGTAGATCTACAGTATGGAATGTACATTAGATCTACAGTATGGAATCTACAGTATTGAATCTAAAGTATGGAATCTACAGTAGATCTACAGTATGGAATGTACATTAGATCTACAGTATGGAATCTACAGTATGGAATCTACAGTAGATCTACAGTATGGAATCTACAGTAGATCTACAGTATGGAATCTACAGTATGGAATCTACAGTAGATCTACAGTATGGAATCTACAGTAGATCTACAATATGGAATCGTTATGGCAGATAATGAAATGTTGGAACAAGTTATCATTGATTTGTCTTCCCCGGTTGACCATTACAATGTAATCAATGTGACAAAGACGGCGACAGGCATCGTCAACATATAAGGGGATGTCATTAGACCCTAAAGTATCAGTTATAGCACCAGTTATGACCAGAAGGGGGAGGTTTGTACACATGGAAAGACAGTTTTATTCTTAATTATCATTATATTGGAAATGGAAAATTTCAAAACAGGTATTAAATATCAGCAATGTTCCAGCTTGTGGAAATGAATGGTAGAATGTGTTTTAGTATACTAAATAGTATTTTGTATACTAATGAAGTTTTACCCGAGTCTGTTTGGTCATTCCCCGTGCTCTGCCCGACGTGCGAAACGGGAATATCCTTTATAAATAGGCAGAAAACGATTTTCAAGTAAGGTATCTATTTTAAACGTTCCTTTCCTCCGTTTTCACCTTTTTCTCAGTCACTCTTTGTTAGCCAGTTCTCACTAGTTCATCAACCGATATGTTGTATCGCTATTTGTGTATTTCACATTTTGAAGAAATGATAAGTATATATGATAAAAACCCGTGCCTGATTTTGTTTCAATGACTGATGTAACCCGTGATTAAAGCGAAATATGTCGGTGACTGATGTTTGACACTGGGTTATTCCATTTATTTCCTTATTTTATCCCGCTAAGCGATGTCTTTGAGTGACACGCTTATAACAAAAAACACCATGCGAATAATCGAAAGAAAAAAATGTTTACTACATGATAGAGTTTCGCCTATGTCGTTCTGTCACTCCCGCAACATTAAAAAACGATGATCTTCGTTCTATCATCGCACAGGGCGAAATAACTGTATACAAGCACGAAATATTTCGCATCGCCACGGCGTTCCGTTATTTCGTATGGTTTGTGATGGTCCTTTGTTCTTTCGCAGTGATGAGACGATATTTGATAGATCGAAAATTGTTTGATAACGAACAGACAGGTATGATTTTAAAGGACACAATAATTGTATTTTTTTATCAGAATACGACCGTTGTCACGATAGCAATGTGAAATCATTGAACAAATGTATAATGTGGTTTGTCTTCCTGTTTTGTACTTACGAAATGATTAAGAGCTGAAGCGTCACGTGCATGGTTACATTAACGTGTAGGTTGAGTGTGAGAGATACGGGAAGTAAAACACATACACCTATAAATAAAGCAGGATTTCTATCTAATCGATAAGGCGGTTTACGCGGGAATTACGCTGCAAAACTTTCTCATTAAAATCGTCTGCTTCTCGCGACTCGCCAACGCGCGCCAGCCGTGACGAACGGGGCCACGTTATACAGTATACAAGGTATCATACGATCATACATCTACGTTCACGGAGGAGAGACGGTTGTATTCATGTCGCTGGATAGTCACAATGTTTCAACATTAGTGTATTACCGACCGTCTGCGTTCCATGGATCTTTTAATGTGTTGTTGTTCTGATCGGGATGGTTTGGTTGTTTATAAACTGACAAACGCCTGTGATGTGTAAGTACAAAGAGCCCGCCATGTGTATACAGCCTTCTGTAATGTAAAATATATATATATGTTTGTATATATCTAAGATACCATGTGTGTGTGTGTGTGTGTGTGTGTATAACGTGCGTCATCGTTGTTCGGTATGTACAAGTGAATGACCCGCTATCTGGCCTGGTCTCCACTTATAGTACACACATTTGGCTTGGCTATCGTTTATAAATCGAGCAGATATTTCAGAGACGTTGATGCCAAGACCAGTACAGTTGTAAATTAATAAACTGTCGTCTGCTTCCTTGTATAGTAAATATCTTAAGGAGTAAGCATCCATATTCACCGGAATTCTTTTTACGTGACGAACAAAATGTCAACAAATAGACCATTCTTGTCGACAACAATACTTAAGGTCGACAGTGGTCTCCCTATTAAAAAAGCATTGTCAGCTTCTTGTTAAAAATGATAAATCACACTTGGTCATTAACCGACATATTTTTTTATTATTCTGTGCGACGTCGTGATTTCGGAATTAAACTACTTACTGCAAAATCGGATCTGTAATAGTTCGTCAAGTAGGTCACCCATTATTAGGTCAAACGAACGTTTATATTACCGGAGTCTTTTTATCACGTCTGTAATTGGCTTGACAGTATCCGGGTATGAAATACCTCGACTGTTATGCAAATTTCATTTCAAAGAGGTTTATTTTTAGCCGAATTATTTCATGCGTAGTGGAAAGCCGAGGTTAATGTAATCTACAACGATATAACAGGTAAAAAAAAATAGCGCTATGACGTAAGCAATGTGCAGACTAGCCGTACAACCGGATGTTTGACTAGAGGTGATATTAATGCTTGGCCTAATGTTGCCGTTATAACGTGAACACATCACTGTCGACCACTTACGTCTCGGGTGAGTCTGCGTTACCTATTCACACTTTTTATCTCTAATCTTTGTTAGTTAATGAGTAGATTTTTATTGTGATCTTACATGTCTTAACAAACTCGGTCCTTCTACACCAAGTCATGGACATATACATTTGTCTCTATATAGATACATGTCCATCTGTTTTTCTCGGTATGGACAATTGTAACCAAATGGAAGGTTCAGAAGACTATCATGTAATACCCAGCGATTTGAAGTGCTGATAGGTGTGTGGGGGAGGGAGGCGAGGCCATAGTTCTCATGTTTGTCAACGTGTCGTCAGTTATATGTTATATGTCTTTAAGTGTGAATTGGGAATATATTGTACATACATGTATACCGTGTACATCTTTATACCGTATCTATATACTGTATCTATATGTTGTGTATCTGTATACTGCGTATCTATATACTATGTATCTATATACTTTGTATCTATATACTGTGTCTTTATACTTTGTATCTGTATACTGTATCTATATACTGTGTCTATATACTGTATCTTTATACTGTGTATCTATATACTGTATCTATATACTGTGTATCTATATACTGTGTCTATATATTGTGTCTATATACTGTATCTATATACTGTGTATATATATATATATATACTGTATCTATATACTGTATATATATACTGTGTCTATATACTATGTCTATATACTGTGTATATATATATACTGTATCTATATACTGTATATATATACTGTGTCTATATACTGTATCCATATACTGTATCTATATACTGTGTATATATATACCGTGTCTATATACTGTATCTATATACTGTATCTATATACTGTGTATATATATACTGTATCTATATGTTGTGTATCTATACACTGTATCTATATACTGTATCTATATATACTCTTTATCAGATGCACGCCGTATCCGTGTATACAATAATGACTTATACATATCAAGCGGTATCTTAATGGCAGATGTGTATCTATGTTTTTATTTTTGAATTAGGTTAATATAATGTTATAAAAAATATTTTGTCTTCAGACTCTCGGACCGTCTGGACTCCGAACATTTCTTGTTTCTCTTTTGTTAATTCTTATCAGTATATACACAAAACATCTCAACCATTCAACAGATATTTTCTAATTTACAATTGACTCGGGTTAATCATATCGGTGAGGGTGACACAGCTTTTAATTGTGTAATGGGATTATACTTTTGTAACGGGACATAAAACGTGCCAACATGTTTATCTGGGACCCGGTCACGTGTCAGGTAGACACCGCTCTAGTCGATAACTACAATTGTGTAAGCTTTACGCTAACGTGTGATGGTAGAAAAATGAGTGTGATTTGAATGGACACGTAGATTGATAACTAAAAAAAGATTACAAACGATCTTCCTGTTTGAAATAACCAGTCCACGTATATATGAAATCGATACTATTTAGAAATGTTTGATAGGCGGCGTGTATAGTCACAATAGATTGTGTAGAATGTTCCTGAACAGCACGAGTATCTGTCACGAGCGGAGAATTTACATTGTGGCTATAAAACGTACACATTATTATATGTATGAGAAGCAAGCGAAAGTGCTACATGTGTATTTGTATGTGAGATGATTCGATTGACTGAAGCGATTTGATGTTAGAAATAACAGGTATTTAAAATACAATATACAGGACATATAGCTGTGTATATCTCCAATATATTGAGTCCTACTACTTACGTTAAACACTCTGAATATTCCGGAATTATACTCGGACATTCGGAACTAATGCAATGAATTTTTTTTTTTTGCAAATTTTGGACAAGATTAGAATGTGTATGTGTAATTGATGAACATTTCTGTGATGCTGTGATCACTGTTTACTGTTAAGGACCAGTGTTGGTAGTCTGGGTAGCGAAAAGATATACTGTGTAAAGTTAATGTCGGGATGGAAATTAAAATTTACAGAGATTACAACTTAAATATATGCCGAAATTCATTGTTTAATTTGAAATGACAGAAATTGGGAGAGGGGTGGAGGTAAGTATGCCACTGTATCTTCGTGAAGGGATCTGATGTTAGATCAGATGTCCCACCCACCAACTAATGGGATCCAGACCCTAATATATGGAATAAGTAGGTCAGTGATTAATTTTTATTCGTTGACGATTATGAACGAATGTCTCGCTAGGATCACCCAACTGGTGTAGGAATACCTGGAGGTTCGTATCTCTGTTTTGGTGTCGGGATATCACCAAGTTTTTTCCGGGATCGGTTTAGGTAGACTGAAAAACAGCCTCCGGTCATTTACGCCTTTTGTAAATGACAGAACATTTAAACTATGTGTTTTAAATATAGTTCGGTAATCTACCACAGCATAAATAGATACGGACGATGATTAAGCAAGTTTGTCGCGGGTCGTTAAATGGGTTTGGAGTATTTCGGTGTATAGTTCCGGTGTACGTGTGCAAGCCTATAATCCCCCACCCCCCATGATTGTGCAGGTACACATGTAAAATAAAATCAAGAAATATAATAAATGTTAAAAAAATCTTCATTTATTAATATTGATTTATTTAAACATTTGAAATGTTATATGATAAAGTAGAAATTAACCTACGTCTGACTAGCTGGTCTAAAAGACCGATTCACTGACGTCGTAACGAAGGGACGTGGCATTAAGTCCGAATCCAAGAGCCATATGTACATAAATTAACATTTTGTATTTTGCCTTCCGTTAACTCTTCTTAACCTGGATTGTTTTCTCTGGAGTACGACAATGACACAATGTCATTTTGGCGTCACACTGGCCGACGTTACATCAACGCTTTGCACGTCGCCTCAGGTAACACACATTATTACGTAAATAATTCATATGACAACTATTTTCAGTAGATAAACATATACATTGGAATCACATAATCCCTTTAAAATACTTCCATGGAACATTCGTTAGATAAAATTTATTGTCAAGGCGAATGCAGTATCAGTCAAATTGCATTGCTATTGATATTGAAGAAAACACGCCCAGTAGAACGATTGTTTTCTTATTACATACACAGACGAAGAAAAAGACGATAATCGGTAGCACGGAAAAGAGAGAAAGAAAATTTAACAATTTTACCCCGAGATGACAGAATTTGTTTAATTCAGGGAACTACAAATACACCCCTACTTATAGATGTTTTTTTTCAGAATTGCACTTGAGTATGATGAAATCAGTCTGAGTTTGCTCGAATATTCTTGAGTGGGCGACGAAGTGAGAGTCAACTGTGTGTTTCCGTTTGATTAAGAATCAGTGTTTTGCTTTGTTTTCCTGTTGTCGACACATCCGACACCAGATAAGACGCCGTTCTTCCCATTGACTTGCTATGCAGTATAATTGTTGACAGGTACTGATACCACTAGATTCGTTATCCTACTTACGTAACGTGAAAACCTATCGGCGAGGAGATTTTTAAGTGTTTACGTAAAGAGACGGATTATCGTCATAGCTCGTTATTACAACAACGTTACACACACATTCAACAATATTTTGCTGTTGTTTATAATGGAGTGTCGGGTTTGACGTAATCTCCGCACATTATCCGTGTTGTACACACGGAAGGTTAAAACCCCAATTACTGCTTATAACATTACGTCATCAATTTTGTGTAAGTAGTCACGATACATAGCTGTCCAGAATCACCCAGCATCCGATACTACAGGGAAGGTAGAGCCATCAAAAGAATTATATATCTTGTATCTGTGCCCCCCCTTGTCTTTTGAAATGGGAGGTTCATTGTACCCCTAACAAATGTATCTATATAGGAGAGCAGGTACAAATATGGAATGTCACCAATTTGGGGGGGGGGGGGGTTGAAGCCTCATTCACGGGTATGGAGGAACACCTGTTTATGTAACGTGATTTTGTCTGATTGTATGATAGTAATGCTGTATTGTATAACTGCACGAGTGTATTAATATTACAATCCGTTATATATCAGTGCACGAGTGAATTAATATTACACGAGTGCACGAATTAATATTACAATCCGTTATATATCAGTGCACGAGTGAATTAATATTACAATCCGTTATATATCAGTGCACGAGTGTATTAATATTACAATCCGTTATATATCAGTGCACGAGTGAATTAATATTACAATCCGTTATATATCAGTGCACGAGTGTATTAATATTACAATCCGTTATATATCAGTGCACGAGTGAATTAATATTACAATCCGTTATATATCAGTGCACGAGTGTATTAATATTACAATCCGTTATATATCAGTGCACGAGTGAATTAATATTACAATCCGTTATATATCAGTGCACGAGTGTATTAATATTACAATCCGTTATATATCAGTGCACGAGTGAATTAATATTACAATCCGTTATATATCAGTGCACGAGTGTATTAATATTACAATCCGTTATATATCAGTGCACGAGTGAATTAATATTACAATCCGTTATATATCAGTGCACGAGTGTATTAATATTACAATCCGTTATATGACTGTACAAGTATATTACGATAATATCGTATCGTTGTAAGAATGTAACGGTGACAATGGTGTTATTGCACATTGTATAGCTACATTGTTTATGTGAATATCTAGTTGCACACGAAATTGTGTCTTAGTGGATAATTCTTGAAGATAATATTTTTATTAATCTCCTGTCGTCTTGGTATAACAGTTGATCACCGTGCGGTAGAGACCGTCATGTGAATCAGTCCCCAGCCATTTAGATGTCATTCTACTATTTAAATCATAACTTTGATATTTTCAATGCTTCTGTGAAACGTAACATACAGACCCTATGAACTGCGATCGTCTTTTGGAAATGTCAGTTTTGATGGTGCCTAGCAGCGATCCTTGACACACGTACAACTTGAGAGACACCGGGCCCTGTATTCAACCGATTAGAAAAAAAAAGAAGTTTTTTGGGTACTGCTATCGCGTATCCGTCTATATCTACGCGCAGTTCCATCAATACGTGTGGTTTCTGAGCAAGCGTTTGGAAACCAAATAATACATTGTCGATACGAAACCAAAGTGCTTGTACAAACTAATTTCTAGCTTTTTCATTTTCGTGGAAAATGACACAGGGCATTTTTCTATCGTAACTATACGTCCGGTCTTCAAGTGTTGACGGACTTCACGTACATATAACTAATTTGTCTGGTTTCAACATTAATTTCACTTCCTGTCTTTTCCCGACTATCGATCTTTTTGGATGTAGGTAAGGAGACCGTCGATCGCCATGATGTCTGTTGACCATTGGTCGCCCATCCATCGCCATGATGTCTGTTGACCATTGGTCGCCCATCCATCGCCATGATGTCTGTTGACCAGTATAGTTGTAATTCAACTTTTCTTTCTCCTCTTTTTTCTTCAGATTCTGAAATCGAGTTAAGAATGAGAGTACACGGATTTTCATCGCAAATTATGGATGTATAGGGTGAGTACTACGCGTGATGAATGAAATTAAGAAATTGGAAATTTCGACCTGAATGTTCTGAAGTTTAAAAAGAAAAAAAAAAGTACTTGTATTCCGATTAGTTGTATTAAATTGGTTTAAACAAGTTGGTGGTGCTTTTCTAAGGCAACCTATCTATCAAACACTAAAACGTCATAGTCCTGAATCTAACTCATGTAGTCTCACGGGTGTTCCTTTGATGTTCTAGTCACTTTTAAATCCTTCACATTAAAGTTAAAACTAAGATATTGTTCGTGTTTTGTGAACAGGAATCCCAAGACTGTGTTTAACAATGTGACGATATACAAAAACTTAAGCTATAAAGTGGTAAACAAACTCGCTCGGATTTATATGTCTACCTGAGAAGACAGACGATTTGAAGAAATAGACTCAGAATTGTCATGCTAGACGGTATTCTTGATTATATTATATTTTTGTCTATATGCAAAATCATTATAACTTATTGTGGTCGCTATGACGCCAGAGTTAATGAAATTCAAACATCGTAAAAATTCGCCGAAGCCTAACAAATGATCAGGGCGGTTCTGTTTATTTTGCGATATGAATATGACGTCACTAGATGATATATTCTTATATACATATCTATATATATATTAAACATACGGTCACGAGAGAGCCACTCCTACTTTGTGTAGACTCAGGTATTTCTATGCTTGACATTCACAGACAAGAACGACGTTCTCGGTTTTGGTACCGGAAGTACGACATTCCTGTGTCGTGTATTGATTAAAATTCGCGTTGTCAGTGAATAACGAGCCCCAGGAGAAACTTCTAATTTTAAGCATTTCTAGTGTAGAACGTCTCTCTGTCGACATTAAAGAGGTACGTTGTTGCAGTTTTAGTTTATTGAACAGGAAAGCATGATCAACATAAGATCACGATACAAGTTTGGACGACTGCCAAGAATGATACGTATAGCGTGTGTAAAATAGTAAAAACCGAGTTCATACACTGTTAATGCCGGGACACGTTGTGTTGTTACTCGCGCTGGTTATTCCAGTAGAGTGTACATAGAATACCCAGGTGACGGTTAATGAACTTGGCGTACTATATAGAGAGTTACACGGACATGTCGTTTTATGATTTATTTATAACGTAGTTTTTTGGTGCCGGTGTTTCTGAGCAGGTTCACGTGCGATGAAATACGTACATGTATGTGTTACTGTGCTGATAACTGGTGTTACACGCTACACCTGTTTGTATTGGGTTGTATGTCCTATCTTTACAGCGAATGATAATAACTTCACTATGTTTTGGAATTGTGGCGGTACATCGGCGTGATCTTACGACTGAAAAGTGTTAGTCCACTATCTAAAGGAAAGGCAGTTTTCCTCTGTCCGTCCGTCCGCCCGTCCCTTCGTCTGTTAAAGTTTGTCAGCACTCTGGTGTCTTCATTCCTAGAGGGATTCTTATTAAACTTCACACACTTATAAAATATCAAGTTATTTTACATACGTTCCTCTGTTAAAGTCACGGTCATTGCCAGCGCGATTGTTGGACAGGACCGGAAGGGGACTCGTATTGGCGTCAGGAATATTCGCCATGTTTAAATCAAATTGAAGTTGTGTGATATCTGACATGAATTAGAATACCAAGAATAATAATAAAAGTTATAATAAAATGTTTCGGACGTTTCATATGACAGCCTCAACCATCGAAATGTAAACTCTCAGGATATCGGCGACTATGAAATCGAGATTGTTGGGAAAACAAATGAGTGACTGTATTTAGCTAGCGACCGCTAATGGGTTTTACACGTTGCACGTGGATTGGTAGAAAAATGCTATATTCCTGTCGACGTAGCTGTTGATAAGACTTAACACCATGAGACTATAGAGCAAGCCACTGATGTATCGTTATATAAAACATCAGCTTAACGCTGGTACTCCCATACGTACATTGTTAAAATTTCCAGGACCAGGAACTTTAACTGTCAACAGCGACAACTTCAATCGCACATTGACAATCATCTATATTTTGAAATTGTGAAGATTTGATGTATAGATTAGTAATATCAAAAAAAATGTTGACTGTAATCTCTGTGAAATTATTTATTTTCGTTTTGTTTTTCGGCTGTCTAAATCCATCTAATTTATATGTTCACGATAAGGATTGTAGTACACGTATAAGTGAATTTTGTGACCAAAATTTACCACCGAAATCCAGAGTCAACGAAGACGTATATTTTTGGAAAACAACGAAATTTGATCCACACGAAAATAACATATCTTACAGTAGCTTATACATTTCAATTACAACTAATGTTACAGCCCGCTGGTAAAATGATCACCCAGTTAATACGTCACTGTAACAACTCGTGGTCGGAGTACATAGCGTGCGGTGCACGCATAGCACCACGCGAGCTCCATGGCAAACGACTATGCTTTCGTTTTCCGAACGATTAAATATGTGTAATGTAATCTTCCTTATAATTGTTGTTGATCACGTGATGCTGGTTTTGACGCCATTACGGCTAAAAGTGCACGAGCGAATGCCGTAAACGTGACACTATAGGATGTGTCCTCGGGGAGTTCATTAAGATTGTCAGTACTGACTTTTACATGTATATCTATATATATTTACGGAACACATTCAGACAAAGATTTTTAATTAACGTAAAAGCTGACAGTGTCCATCAATACACTTTCAAATCAAACATATTTATGGCCCTGTTCTGCTGAATTTTTGTGGCTTTCGCCACGAAGGTCAAGTCATGCATATTCCAGTGTCATTAACGGACATTGTAATACTTATTTATATAGGTTAGGGGAAGTATACATTATCCATTCGGAACATCACAAAAAACTCCCTTGATCTTTTCAAAGTCTCTATTCGAAGTCCACATTATCGAAAACCCCATAGATGATTTGAAAAGGTCAACGACGACTTTCTGTATCCAAACATTAAAGACATGACAAAACTTTTTTTTCATCGCATGTAACTTTCGTATTTCTCCAGACATGTTTTGGTGACGTCTTATACAAACGATATCTTTAAAAAAAAAATCGATAACAAACTTGAGTTTTTTGGCTCACTGTGGATGTTTGTTGTGATTAATATAAAGACACAATAACTAATGTTTCTTGTAAATTTCACGCAGGAGATGCGAAAAATTACCAGAAATTAAATTGAATGTCAGACTCGTATCTTATATATTTAAAAGTTGAACTCTGGTCAGTGTCGAAAGCAATACTTCCTTAAAGATATTTCATAAACGGTGATGTAGCGAGTGGCTCTTTCACTTTGACCAACCTTGACTAAACAAAGAATTCAATGTCCTCTGGACTTGTCGCGACATATTAAAACGAGTTCGATGTTCCCCTGAACTGACCTCGACATATTAAAACGAGTTCGACGTTCCCCTGAACTGACCTCGACATATTAAAACGAGTTCGACGTTCCCCTAACTGACCTCGACATATTAAAACGAGTTCGACGTTCCCCTGGACTGACCTCGACATATTAAAACGAGTTCGACGTTCCCCTGGACTGACCTCGACATATTAAAACGAGTTCGATGTTCCCCTAACTGACCTCGACATATTAAAACGAGTTCGATGTTCCCCTGGACTGACCTCGACATATTAAAACGAGTTCGATGTTCCCCTAACTGACCTCGACATATTAAAACGAGTTCGATGTTTCCCTGGACTGACCTCGACATATTAAAACGAGTTCGATGTTCCCCTGGACTGGTTGCGTCATGTTTTGTTAACGGCCGGCCTTCCGGATGGCGTTTGAACGAGTTTGGTTTCCCTTCGGCCGGCCTTCCGGATGGCGTTTGAACGAGTTTGGTTTCCCTTCGGCCGGCCATCCGGATGGCGTTTGAACGAGTTTGGTGTACCCTTCGGCTGGCCTTCAGGATGGCGTTTGAACGAGTTTGGTGTTCCCTTCGGCCGGCCTGTCAGATTGAGTTTGAACGAGTTTGGTGTTCCCTTCGGCCGGCCTCCCGGATTGAGTTTGAACGAGTTTGGTGTTCCCTTCGGCCGGCCTCTCGGATTGAGCTTAAACGAGTTTGGTGTTGCCTTCGGCCGGCCTGTCAGATTGAGTTTGAACGAGTTCAGTGTTCCCTTCGGCCGGCCTCTCGGATTGAGTTTGAACGAGTTTGGTGTTCCCTCCGACCGGCCTCTCAGATTGAGTTTGAACGAGTTTGGTGTTCCCTTCGGCCGGCCTCTCGGATTGAGTTTAAACGAGTTTGGTGTTCCCTCCGGCCGGCCTGTCAGATTGAGTTTGAACGAGTTCAGTGTTCCCTTCGGCCGGCCTCCCGGATTGAGTTTGAACGAGTTTGGTGTTCCCTCCGACCGGCCTCTCAGATTGAGTTTGAACGAGTTTGGTGTTCCCTTCGGCCGGCCTCTCGGATTGAGTTTAAACGAGTTTGGTGTTCCCTCCGGCCGGCCTCTCAGATTGAGTTTGAACGAGTTTGGTGTTCCCTTTGGCCGGCCTCCCGGACGATATGTGACACAATCGTGTTATGTTATACAAGAAATGTTAGGTTTTCGGCTATCGATTTCTACTTGTTTGGTCGCTTATCTAAAATCATTTCGGGATAAACTCCGATATTGCATGAGATCATATCCTGTTTGTATATTCAATACGTCTGTCTGTCAGTCTGGCTCTGTACACGTAAATCTCGTGCATTGATATTGGCGTTCGACCGTCATCCTATCTCCGCTCGCTGTCTGCCTTCCTGTTTCAAACCCTGTAATGCTGACGTTTCATGTTGGCTGTTGATGCAAACGCACTTCTACACTGAAATGTAGCGTTCGAGATCCTGTCGTTTTCTGTAATTGATGCATCTGGATAGTTATTACATGTATACTCAGATTTATGGCTGAATTTATTTTTTCGGCTCATATCATGAAGTGCACATTAAAATTTCGATTCAAGGAAGATAAGTTTTGAAGGTGTTATGAAGTCCTTCAGATAATTCTTAACAAAATTATGAGAATATCCAAAGTTTT